ATTGTTTAAACAAACTCATAGAAAGTCAGGATTCCACTTTTGTTAGCAAATGATACACCATATGTAATACGCTAAACTGGAAGACAAAAATTAAAAAAAAAAAATCGTAACTGCTCTGGTATTGGGGATAGAATGCAAAGAATTAGTGTCCCCTTTATTGGTCTTTAGTCTTTTCCTCTAAAAAATTTCCATTCTGGTTGAACGGAACCAGCTACAAAGAAAGTATTATGTTTACAGTTCTTTATTTTCCTACACAATGAAGAAAAGAAAGTAGTATGTTGAATCTTTTGCCAGCATTAGTCCAAAAACTCTGATTACTGTGTTTTGTTTCAAGTGCTGTAAGCACCATGAAGTAAAAAATCTGTTCCATTTTGCTTGCTAAGGTAGTTTTACATGACAAATTACCTATTTTTGTGAATATTCAAGATGTGCAAACAAGTTTATTGTCGCATCTCAGTAAAAAAAAGATTACATACTCACACAGATGAAAACAACTGATACTAAGAAGTTTGTAAAGTCCTCTTTAAATGTTGCTGAATATTGAACTGATAATTAATACTGCCATAACCCCTTACCATAATGACCATGGACCAGATTCTACTCCATTACATCAGCACATATCCATAGTAAAAGGCAGTGACATTATCCACGGTTTCCACTGGTAACAGAGGACTAAATATGGCTTAAGCTCTTCATCAGGGAGAAGACTGTCTCAAAGGGTGTTTATTCAGTGTTAGCATGATAGGATCTCTGAATACTATTGCTAAGTGGAAAAAATAGTAATTTCCTACCATTTGCTTTTATGATCCATTGCAGCTTGCATTTTAAGTAGCCACTATTTTGTGATGGTTATTTTCATCTCATCACACTCTAGCCACATACAAATGCACATAGAGTTCCCAATCTATCTGCCATCCCATACCAACTGTATTCAAGATTAATATATTATCCATTGCATTACTCCCAAATTCTTCAGCCACCCTTCTTCAGTGATTATCATGGTGTGTCATCTCCAGAGTGAAAGATCCAAAAGCTACAAAACCTGCAGTCTGTGACACTCCCCAAGCCAGAAAACACGGATGCCTTGTAGAATATTCTTAAGCGATACATTTGCTGGCAAAAGCAAACCTGCAGTAACAGCAATGCTCTGGTATTCAAGATATTAGCACACGAGAGACAAACACATATGATGCCATTCCACTGGTGATGTAGTATAAATGAGTGGACAAACATTTACACACACAAAGTCTAATAGCACACACTACTGTTAGAGGTCTCTGAACTGCTGTGTTCTTCTTTGCTCCGTTTATGAAATCAATCCAAGAAGCAATGTATTTTGTCATGCCTTTCCCCCCCCCTCTTCAGCAAAGCCCGCCCTTGGGAGATGAACACTTCCAATGGACATGAAGAGTGCTGAGGCCCGTGTTACCAAGACCACCAGAGTGCCTAACAAACTAAAATACCAGTTCCAGATATTTTCTGTTTATTGATTGCTGATGTCCCCCAACACATACTTTCATTGCCTT